TTTCCAATATTTTAATTTTTTTAATATCTGTAATAAAACATTTGAACTTTTAAACAAGCAAAGCAAATTTTCAACAGTTTTTAACTTTTCTGAAAATGGCAAATGTAGATGATGATGTTGTTGTAAATTCAACCAGTTTTCAAACCTTAGTTGCTGATCTGGCTCATCTAAACCACGGTACTTTTTTAAAATTCTTTAAATGATAAATTGAATAAATAATTGTAAATGTATTTTTATTACACAAGATCAATTTCTTCTTCTCGTTCTTTGTGTATTCTTCATTGGTCTGATAATCTTGTCATGTTGCGCTGGAATTATCAAGTAATGTTGTTTTAATGTCAAGTGACAATAATTAACATCATGTGACAATATTTAACGTCATGTGACATTATTTTGAAATCATGTGACATTATTTTGACATAATGTAAAATTGTTGTTAATATGCGACAAGAAATGTAACGTACATGCGTTTCTTGAAATTGTAATTGATTTTATTTAGCTAAGACATTTTTAAGTTATTCTTGCTGTTTTTATTTGCTATTAACTGTTTGCATTTGTTCACATTCAATGAATTAATTCTAAGAAAGCTAAAAAACAATGGCATGATCGAAAATTAATGTTGAATTGTTGTACCATAGTTCGATTCTTATATTGAAATTGTACCATTTACACTAATTGAAATATAATATTTAGGCCGTAATCTCCAAAAACAATTTTTTAAGGTACGAACGCTTGAGGGCCCAACAGAATTATGCCAAGCCAGGTTCTGCAGGCTGGGGCATCGACAATCTGGAATATCATTCATAAGATGGACCGCTTTAAAATTTTATTTTTCAACGCTGGCAACTTGCTATTAAAATTAACTGCTTTTATTTCAAATTTTTATAAAACACATCTGAAATATATCGAGATTTTAATTCTACTACTTAAACATTTCAATTTGATTAAAAAATCAATTACTATTTGATTTTTAAAATGTGTTTGTTTGTTGCTAATTAAAATTAATGGATAAACCATAAGTGCTTCTTACTATGATAAGTTTTTCCTACTCATGCTTATTCATCAACTTTATAGTTTGCCAGGTTCGAATTCCACACACTTTCATGCTGCACAATAGCAACACTTTTTTATTATTCTTTAAAACATCAGGATCTGACAGGCGCAGAAGCTGTTACTGTTAATAAGTAAAGTAATTAATTAATGGACTAAATAAGGATTCAATGAGTTAGTGAAGTGATCGGTAAGTAAAAAAAACTAGATTGAGTAAATGATAGAGTTTTATTGAGTGCTAATATATTTAAGGTGTCTTGTGATGAAGGTCTTTTCCTGGTATGTTGAATGAGTGGCGACTTGATAGTTATCTTGATAGTTATGTTTGCGTTGACGAAGGTGGTGTGTTGTTTTGACTGGGGGTAGTAGAGGATGGACGACGTGGTTGCTGTTATTTTCTATTTTTTTTAACAGTCTTGAATCGAGTGGGTTGAATATTTGAGTGATGGTAGGATATGATGCAGGTAGGTAGTTGAAGCGAATTAGTTTTTTGATGAGAGATTGTAGTTATTGAAGTTGTTGTTGTGTAGCAAAATCAGATCAGAAGGAAGCTGCATATGTGATGTGAGAGATGGTGATTCGGTGATGTCGAATAATTTGATGCCCCTTAGACCATGTGAGCAAAGTGTTTTGAGTGCGTGAAATGGTTGAAAGCCTTTTGTGATGATGTAATTGATATGAGGTGCTACATTAAGTGTGGAGGTGAATGTGATGCATAATATTTTTAGTTGATTCACGCGAGTGATTGATGGGTGTTCTGGACGTAATGCTATTTTCCTACGACTATTGTGAATGATGAGTTTGAATGATTTATCGAAGTGACAGATTGCATTGCTTTGACCATGTGGTTAATGAGTCGAGTTCTGATTCGATGGTATTTGTGTTAGATGATGGGATGATAAGGTAGGTATCGTCAGCGTATTTGATGATTTGATTAGGGTTTTGAGAGTAAAAGCATTGATAATAAAGGTATATGTTCTAAGGATAGAACCTTGAACTACACTAGAATTAACAGTAAAATATACGAGGATTGTGAACTGTATGATGATATATATTTTTTTGAACGTTGACCGGGGAGGGGAGGAAGGATCATCCAAAACGTTGAAATGTTGACCGGGGAGCTTGGAAAAAAATGATGATGATTTAATTGTAATCATAGCAATTATTTTAACTTTTTTGTAATTTTCTGTGTCTGCGTATGTCTTCTGTAAATGATTTCTTAATTTCAATAATTAATAAAAACGCTTCTTTTGTTATGGTTTTTAATCAAAATAAAAAACGATGATTTTAAATAATAATTCAAATATATAGTAAAACACTGTAATAAGTTGACTAATAAAATGACATGATTTTGCGAAACTGGGCATATTTAAGGTATACATTTTTAGAAAACCATCCTGTCAATCTTGATCGTGTTATCAGCAATTAGCGACAATTTTGTTAGAGAGCCCAAGTTAGATTCGTTTTATTTAAATTTTTAAAATGGGTATTCAATTTTTTATTATTTTATATTTGGCTTCAGGTGGCTATTTACGACTGTTATTTTCCAGTGCGTAATAAATTTAAATAATTACGACGTGACACTGAAATTATTCGCTGCCAACAAGCAACAAAAACTGATGCCCATTCTAATAGATAATATATATTTAATAAATTTTTTATTTCTCGTTAACAATATAGAAATGTGTAAACGCTAGTTATGACGTAAAATGTATGGCAGATGTATTTGTCAAAGCATAGTTCGTTGAGTAGCATTATCGCTCTTTTTTGCATTCAATCACGATTTCAATGAAGAGCTCAAACAAAACTAATAAGATTAAGATAATTTTTATTATTAAAATGTCTATTTAATTCCATTTACAATTATATAAATGAATCGGGCTGCAATTAATGACCAATTATTTATAATGTGTCTATTTCTTGTGTACCATCAATTTAAATAATGAAAATGTTAGGCGATGAAAATTTTCGTTTCCAACAAAAATTGAAAGCGTGTTCAAAATAATATATTTTTAATATTTATGAAAAGTTATATAGTTTTTTAACAATATGCAATTGTCTAAATTCTACCTATGACGTACAGTTGAAACAGATTTATTTACAAAGCTGCCTCCCGTAAAAATTGTGTCAATGTTTTGGTATGTCCGCGTTTAATTGCAATTCAAATAAAGAGCCCAAATAAAAATTATTAAAAAATTTATATTTTTGATATCGTCAATCAATTATCTTTAAAAATATGTAATTGGTTTTGGAACTGCAATTTGCAAACAATTTTTAATCCATTTATTTGCAGGTGTACCGTCTGTTTCAGTAATTAAAATGTACGAAAAGAATATTCATTGCGAACAAAAATTTCACAAATACCCAAAATAATAGATAATATATATTTATTGTTTTTAATAAATAATTATTTTTCCTTTTAATAATATGCGAATGTCTAGCTCTGGCTTACAATTTTAGGCAGATTTTTTTGCAAGAGCACATGATGAAAAAAGTTGAAATGTTTTATCATATTTTTTGGCTTTCACACTAAAAAGAGCCCATATAAAATTTATGTTAATATTTATATTTTTGAAATGGCCAATCAGTTATATTCAAAAATATGGTCAAGTAAAAAATTATAAAACAAAATATATTTGATTTTTGAATTGCAATTTTCGGTCAATTTTTGATCCCTTTATTTCCGTCTTTTTCAATAATGAAAACGTGATGCAAAGGATTTTTGTTGCTATCAAAAATTCCACAAATGCCCAAAATAATTAATGATATATATTTAGTGTTTTTAACAAATTATTTTCTTCTCTTTAATAATATGTATATATTATATCGCCAGCTATGACCATGGATATATATATATATATATTTTATGTATATATATATATATATATATATATTATGTTATATATATATATATATATATATATATTATGTTATATATATATATATATATATATATATCACCAGCTATGACCATGGATATATATATATATTTTATGTATATATATATATATATATATATATATATATATATATATATATTATGTTATATATATATATATATTATGTTATGTCTATTACCAACATATATATATATATATAATATATATATATATATATATATATATATGTTGGTAATAGACCATAATTTTTACAATATTCTATAAATTCTACCGAATGTTTGGCGTTAATATGTTTGTAGTTCGTTTTTTCGATTTTTCTCACTAAAGTTTTTTGGTGAACGTTTAGTTTATTAAAATTCAAAATAAACTTATTTTTCGAATTCATGCTGCAAATAAGGCCATATTTCGATTCCGAATGAATCATCATCAGTGCTCCTTGCTGTATATATAGGGAAATATTGACTTTGTCAAGATTAACTTTGACGTTGTAAAAATTAACTTTGGTGTTGTAAAATTGAACTTTGATGCGAATTAGGTGTCAGGTTTCTTAAACCTGACACAAAAAACGAACTACAAACATATTAACGCCAAACATTCGGTAGAATTTATAGAATATTGTAAATATATATATATTAGGGTGGTTCACATTTGAATGGGGAAAAAAATTTTTGTCTGATTTGAGTGCACACCCTCTGAAAAGTTTCCATTGGGTCCTAAAAACTTACAAACCAAAAATAAGACAAATCAAATTAAATTTAGAGGTTGCTCATGCATCTCAAAATTATATAAAAATGTGATAATTCATTATTTCGAAACCAAATACAAATATAACTGGAAAAGTATCAAAAGTTAGTTACTTACTTAATTCAAAACATAGATATTAGATATTTTAAAATGCATTATTATTATTAAATATTCTATGGTCACCTTATTTGTTGTCAGCAAAAAGTAAAATAGGATAAATATCTGCATAATTTAACTGTGTCGATTTACTAGTAATTTGAGGTGATTTTGAAATACCGGTACTGTACATATTTAACTACGTATAAAATGGCTTCTAATTCAAACTGTGGTGCTCTTACAACACGCAGCATGACTAACATATGGCTGATTGGACAGTTACAAAGTGAACTTCCAGTAAATGTATTGCCTACAACAGGTGATGTCCTGAGAATGTTTTTTTATTATCATCAAGTAGAAAAGAAAAACTGTTGTCAGATAAGGTCATGGACGTGTGGAACAAGGCTAGAATACCAACAACCTACCATACTCATGTTGTAGAAAAAGTAAAGTCGGTAGTTGATGACTACAAGCTAATAAAAAAGAACAAAAACAGACAAAGTGAAGCACAACGAGCACGAGAGAAGGAATTTGAAGAAAAGAAGCACATGATGTTTGATATTGCTCACCAACACGCCATGCAGCTCATCCGAATTCAGGAAGATATAGAATTTCTTGAAGACCAGAGGGGCAGTCGACGAATGCAAATGAGTGGCATTGATAAAGACCTGACCAAGAAAGAAGAGCGCACAGAACAACGTAAATGCAAAGAAGAAGAGAGAAAAGAGCGAGAGCAGGAGCGGATGACAGAAAGTACCTCACTACATTTATCTAGTTCTGATGACAGTGATAGTGAACAGCAGGACACAGAGGACAACTATGAAATTGAAATTCCAGTGTACTACAAAAAGCAGATCAGTGAAGTAGAAGACAGTCTGTCAAGCAGTGCCAGCAAAAAAACACGAACTGTGCAGGATATGTTGTCGTCGCCAGATGTTGCTTCAGCACTGGATAGAATAAACCTGTCAGAAAGAAAGTTCACAGTATTAGCAGCAGCCATTGCACAAGCTAGTGGGCAAGACATCAGGGATACATCTCTGTCACGTTCCACAGTTCATCGTAAACGACAGCAACATCGATCAACCATTGACAGCAGTATTCGTCAACAATTTCAGGATCGTGACAGAAACCCCCTTCTGGTTCACTGGGATGGGAAGATCATGAATGATGACCCACACTCCAGAACTGATAGACTGGCTGTTGTTGTGACTGGCTGTAATGTGGAGAAAATCTTAAAAATTGTTAAAATTGCATCAAGCACGGGACAAGCACAGGCCAATGCAATTTTTCAGTTGCTCAAATTATGGGACGTTAGTGAAGACATTATAGGCATGTGCTTTGATACTACTGCTGCCAATACTGGGACGTCAAGTGGAGCATGTGTTTTGCTGGAGAAACTGCTCCATAGAAATCTCTTGCACTTTGCTTGTCGTCATCATGTACATGAATTGATAATCGGTGAAGTTTTCACAGTTCTGTTTGGTCCAAGCCGTGGCCCCAACATTGGAATGTTAGAAAGATTTCGAGCCTACTGGCCAAATATAAATCAGTCAAACCACAAGCCACTTGATGATGACAGGATGAACCACTCATTGCTACAGATGATGCGGTCTGACATAGTACCATCTTTGACATGTTTTCTTTCAGCTGACAGCTCATACATCCCACGAGAGGATTACAAGGAGTTGGTTGAACTCTGTCTCTTAGTGCTGAGTTATCCAATGCAGACTGATGGCAAGTACCATTTCCGTGTTCCTGGAGCATATCACATGGCCAGATGAATGGCCAAAGTGATCTACTGTCTCAAAATGTATTTGTTCCGCAATGAATTCAAGCTAACAGCAACTGAAACAAAAAGTTTAACTGAATTCTGCCTATTTGCAACCCATATATATGTGCCAGCATGGATGTTGTGCCCAATACCCAGTGATGCACCAGTCAATGACCTGCAACTTCTGAGCAGAATTGAACAATACTCTGAAATCAACAAGAATGTAGCAAGTGCTGCCACAAAAAAGTTGAAGAATCATCTGTGGTATCTCGGTACAGAAATGGTTTGGCTGTCATTGTTCTCAAATAAGGTTGCAAATGCTGAGAAGCAGTTGATTGTGGAAGCAATGACTGCAGTAGATTCTGACTGGAGTGTGCGAGGTGTCAAATATCCTGCAACTGAACTGGAACAGGTGAAAAGCAAACCACTGCATGATCTGGTATCAGGTACATCTCGTGCTGCATTGTTATCACTTGGAATGGATGTTGCTATCTTGCGTGAAACTGAACCAGACTCATGGAATGATCTTCCTTTATTCAAAA